CGGAGGGCGGTGCTGCGGACGCTCTTTCAAGTATTCGGAAAATGCAACAATTGAATAAAAGAAAAATTAGACTTAGTTGTGTAATAAATTTAATGCAATTCAATTCTTAGATTTAGTCTCTCACATATGAACAATTGCCTTGAAAGAAAATTGAGATTCAGTGGATGATCTGGAACTGCTGGCGTCACAGGAGACATTGAGAACAATTCAGAGTGATTTAACGGGGAATTATTGTTCAATGAAATATAAGATTGTTACATTTTTCAATGATATTTCTTTAGATGTCTATGATACATGATTCCTCATTTATCTGAGAAACTCAAAGGTAAGTTTTATTTACTTAATCACTAGTTTTATTTTCGCATCTTGCACGAGGGATCACTCACTGGACAGTAAAGGACGGTGAAGAAGGGTTCTCTTTAACTCTGATTAAAGCACACGCTATCTATATTTTATTTAGAATCGTATAATTGTACGCTTAAAACATTAGTCTGGCCTAAAAGAGAAATCACAATTCGGTCAATTTATTTATAATTTTTTCTCCTTCATTCTCTTGATTTTTATTCTCTCCACCTTTTTTATTCCACAATTAATTCAAACTCACGGGTGATCATATACAATAGAGACATGTAATTATTTATATAATAGCGAATCGGCGTTCAATCAAATTGGCTTGCCATCTTTATCCTGTCATTCTCGTAATTAAGTGCGTGGTGAGGAATTTATAGGTCAACTTATTGTGATCTGTGGTAATTTTTACCCTCATATTTTAATTGAAAAATAATGAGTCTAGTGGAGATTATCAGATTTTTCGTTTGTTATTGCAAGTTAATTACTAAAAAACCGGGTAAATTTTCCAACAAATAATTCGCCATGTGCAATGAAAAAAGAGACGTGGAAAAATTGAGGATGTGCACACACGACATTCACCGACCGATTTCCTTCAATTTTCTCATCACTTTCTCTCGTTACACGAATATATAAATAGTACTAATATCGACTTAACACCTAAGTTCTCTTCATTTCGAATAATTCTTTGATTTACCTACCTCCAGGTTTATCTACGAGTGAAATTATTATTTACTAAATGATTCTTGTGATAACAAACTTAACGATGCTCTCATGACTTGACGCTTAAGAGACGATTTTTTGTATATTTTCATTTTTATAATCGAGGGTGGCAGTACAGGTGATAGAGATCGACACACGAGGACCTTTTTATCATTTGGTGGGTGTTGGTTATGACGTCGACGTGGACGATCACCACGGTCACTGCAACCTCGGGGACCAGTACTGGGCTGCCATATCCGGTGCTGGTTGACCTGGCACAGCTATTGGTACACTCACCCCTGGTGATATCAATCCTGACGGACAAATACCATTTGCACTGTTAAACATTTTCCTCTCAATTCTCCTAGCGAAATTCCACAAATTTCTATCGTCCTGCATTCCACCGATTCAGACCACTTTTTCATTGAATGAAAATTCAATTTAAATATATCAATGAAATTTTCAGTTTTAGGTATTCAATGCAATTTTACAATCAATATTTCAATTGGTACATTCATCCAGGGTGTCTTAGGACAATGAGATTAATGGAAAATTTTTTAATCGTTCCACTATTCAGAGGGAATAATAAATAAATTAAATTAACACATAATTTGACTGGTATTGTTCTCCCTGGGTGAAAGTACCAATTGTCACTGCGATGAAATGCAACGATTGAAATAGAGTTTAAATTTCCTGCCCTGACGTTCCGATATTTTTCAACAAGCCAGTATTTTTTAAACTAAAAAACAAAAATGATGTGTTTTTTAAAAGGTAAAATTGTGGTTTCCCAAATGGAAGGGTGTATTTTCCCAGTGTTTGAGCTGTGGCGACACGGCAATGATCCTCGAATAACAGATAAATTTCGTCTCATTCGGCAATAGTAATTGCATTTTTGTAATTGACATCGAATCCAATTACCCGATTTAGTCAGGCTGTTCTTATGGTAATCCACGTGCGTGATGATAGCCGAGTCCCACGTGCGGCTAGAGAGCTAGCAGCGAGTGGAGTGAGTGCGGTAGACACTCACCAGTCGAGCTGGCATTCTGATTGTATTGATTCAAGCCAGTGGTGTGATAGGGTTGAGTTGGACTGCATGATGGACGTCCACCGTAGCCAAGATGCAGGGGTTCGTAGCTGGGGGGTCGTGCAACACCGCAAGAGTAGCCGTTGTCACGTTGATGAAGACACGCAGCTGGACTCGGTCCCACTGTCATACCCACTGTCATTCCCATTGGACCCATTCCACCCGACGACAGGGAGGACATGCTGGTGGTGTGTTGCTGGCTCTGCTGTCCGGACATCGTGAAGCTCGGCATCGACGTCATGGGACTGAAATTTCAATTATTTAAATTATTTGAATTATTTGAATGATTTGAATTTTAATTGGTCATCAACATTACAGAAAAATTAAATAGCTAAAAATATATGAATATGTCATTTAAATTGTTGAATATCGTTGTATATTGAAATATTGATTGAATAATTGAGGAGTTAGTGTTGAGTTTACCTGTAGGAATCTGGCATGCTGGGAATCCCCGGGTAAACAGCGGTGGGAGCGAATCCATGATGAATTCTTGGTGGTGAAGGTGGCCCCTGTGGAGGTGCTTGACCACCGAGAATCGATGGTGGTGGTGTTGGATGTCCAAGACTAACACCACCAGTGTGCTGTGGTTGCTGTTGAGATGGCTGTTGCTGCTGACTCGATTGTTGTCCACCGTTGTCCCTCCTCTGTGTCCTGAGTTTCTCCTCTCGTCGCCACTTTGCGCGTCGATTCGAAAACCATACCTGAAGTTAGTGGACGAGAAAAAGAAAAAAGAGATACGAGATCGGGTCAATTGTCTAGGAACTACGGAGTGATACAAATAAAACTCAAAAAATCATCAGGACAGGGAGTAGATTAGTCAGTCAATCACAATCCGATATAAATCTCATGAATTTTAATCACAGCAGATTGGAATTTATCTTTTACCTGTATTCGCGCCTCGGGGAGGCCAATTTTTCCAGCTAATCTCTCCCTGGCGAAGACATCCGGATAGTGCGTTCTCTCGAATTCTTTCTCTAGGGCGTCGATCTGCTCGTTGGTAAAACTCGTACGATTTCGCTGGAGTTTGCGTTTTAATCTGAGTCTAGCTTGATCATCATCACCACCACCGGATACACTACCGGCATTGCTGTTATCACCACCGCTGTTGGTTTCGTCTGAGTGAGCACCGCCTTCCAACTCCGCCACTGAAACAATATTTTCACTATTAATTTATCGATATTTTTATTCCAACAAAAATCCTGTCTATAATACTCCCCATGCATGTATTGACGATGTGTAATATTCCCTAATAATATTCAATCCGTAAAATTAATTTATTTTTAATCAAAACTATCAATTCACGGTATTAAATCGCACTAAATTATTCAATAAGTACCAGGGTCGACGAAAAATTATTCGGAAGTCATATGACGACGTATCGGTCCTCAATAATTCGTTATCAGAGGTTTTTATCAATATAAGAGTTCGTCTTGTGGGAGACAAGAGTCTGATGAGTGAAGGTTACAGATGAATGATGATTGCGAGGATAAATGAAAACGATAGTGATAGCCTCATGGAAAATATGGATACATATATATCTGGGGATGGGTGTGGGGGAGGATCCTGAGGGGTGCGTATAGGAATAGTAGATGGGGTGGGAGAGGGTGGAGGCGTCGCCTGGCAAACCTTATCGTAGGTTTCTGGGTGAGCGCGTCCGGGCGTCAGTGGATTTTAGCTGGAAAACGCTATAGGAGAGGTGGAAACTGTACATATATCCAGCTATGTATTATATAGGGAGGTTGAATGGGGGTGGAGGAGGACTCGCGATAAGATGCCACGGTATCCACTCGCCTCCCCACACCTCCGTTTTCCTCGCACAACTTCTCAACGCCTCGGCATTCGTCCTGCTGCGGTAATGGAATCCTGATAACCACCCTCTTTTACTCTTGCCTTCGTCCCACCAATTTTTTTTTCGTGATATTTTCATAATTTTTGGCCACTCCGGGAAACAAGGGGATAATATCCAAGCGCTAAAATCATCTTGCAATTTGTATAGACAATTAATAATTGAATATTGTCACTTGATATCTCTCGATTTTTCGGAATTTTGCAGAGATCGAGGGAAAGTGGTCAGACATTTTTTCGGGATTTTCCGGGATTCACTGGGATCTCAGGAAATTCAGGGTTGATCAGGAAAAGGACTGGAATTCTTCAACTGCTTTAAATTTTCAAGTGATTAACATTGAATTAATTGATTCCAGAACGCAAGGGTTTGAGGGAAAATTTTCCGGAATAATGATTGATTATTTTTGAATGTTGGGTAAAAAAAAATATTGCGGTGCGTAAATTTCCTCGATCACTTCCGTAATCAGTAAGCCAACACATGTAACATAATCTTCATTGAATATTTCTCTGGTTGCTACAATAAATAATTCAGGAGAAATATTCGACTTTGAACTGCTGCGACGTGAGACACAAAAAAAAAAATGAATTACCAATTTGATGCAGTTTTTTGAGGGGTGTTGGAAGCGGAAGTGGTGGCAGTTATCTAGAGGGTGTAAGGGGTGGTTCTAGAAGTGGAGATAAGCCAAAGTCTTATGACTCTGGCGAAGAGCCACACGACGGAGGCAGTAAAGTTGCTCACGGATTACTCGAAGCAGAGAGAAACGGTTAAAGTTCTGGATGCTGTTGCTGCTGTGCGTCGTTAAACGGTACAAGGAGGTAAAGGGTATGAGAGTTATCCAGAGGGGTTAGCCAGGGTATAGGGGGTAACATGCCACGCAAGGATGCTGTAAGGGTACCGCAGAGCATCGAGGATGAGGTTAACGCTACGAGGGTGCTTTAAGCAGCAATTAAAACCACCGTGTCTTGCCTTCCGCGTACTCTCACTTCTCTGCATAACCATGCCAAACCCAACTGCCTACGACAACTCGCGAAGCAACTTCTCTACACACTAATACAACAACCTAAACTCCTGCTCTTGATATCTTTCCGCGGAGAAGACGACTCCATCCTCCATCCTCCTATACCACTTTGCTCAAACTTTCACAACAGTCTTGCCGATTCACGCTTCACAACCTTTATCTCAACGAAATTGTCATTTCTTCGGGCTTTCCACGGGATTTTTCTCGTTTTTCCTCCCGGCTAATGGATAGCCTAATGCAACAACTTATTGTTCAGCTTTATACATTTTTCGGTTGCTTATTAATTATTTTAATTATTTTAATCGATTATGATTCAATTATGTGGAAAGTTTGATTGATGAAAATTTTATATAATTTATTCAATTACTCGGGTAAAAAAAATTGCAATCGGAATATTTTTTCTCGATTTTTGAAAAATTTCTGGAAAACTTTTCAGAATTTTTTTGTAATGAAACAACAAAAAATCGGAATACAAAACAATTTTATTTTTGGGAAAGATATTGAAAAATTTTTTAAAACAATTCCCAAAAATACAATCGTTTGTTTTTGTTTTAAAAAAAGATGTCTTAAAAGTTCTCCTGAAATTTTTTGAAAATATTGAAAGAATATTCCGATTACAATTTTTTTTACCCGGGGTGATATAAAAAAAATGTTGCATGTTAATTGTTATAAAAATTCCATCGAAAATCCACAAATTTTTGGCTGGGCGGAGTAAATGGATAAAAAAAAATGCAGGCGCGTTTTACAGGCCATTTTGCCGAGGCTTTTATCCCGGCGAACAGAAGTCGTCAGACAGGTAGACATCTGTAGGACGAGGGGAGATCCGGGGTGTGTTGAGGCTCGTCTCCAGAGCCACTGAAGCGTGATGGCGGACAACTGGACCACCAGGATCCCCCAGTCTTCCCCAAACCGTTGTTATACCGTCAAGACAGACGTGAAAGCCACCACTCGAAGACAGCAGTTGAGAAATAAAAAAATCTCCAGTGGCCGGAAAAATCTGACCCGCTGGAGCGACAAATTTACCAACGAAAAATAGCGGATGACCATTTTTTAATCGACCACTCCACCGAAAGAAACGCCACTTATCTCTCCCCATCGATAACAAAAGCCATTGATTGCGCATTGTACAAATTCCCCACGTGCCACTATAATTAAAATAAAGGTGAGGTAGACTCCAAGTGGATGATGGAGTAAAGAATAATAAAAATGAAAGGTATCGAGTGGACCCTCGAGGGAGTCTAGTGGCTGAATCTAAACTCCGATAAACGATCCAACACTGAAACAATGTGTACAGCCAACTGCTCCTTTTAAATGCCTTTTTTTTTTTCTCCAATTCGCATTATTTTAATGCGCGTGCGGCCAAAGAGGATGGAAGAAAATAATAATAATAATTTTAAAAATGGAGGAGCCTGGAGAGAGGGGGAGTCGAGTGATCATCGAGGCGTAAACGTCATTTTTCGGTTTTCATTTGTGTGTATGCGGTGGGATACGTTAAAATGGCGCAGCAGATGCAATTTAACAATGAGGGGTG